TCTGCGTGCGAGACAATTCGTAATGACTCTCGAAAACAGCACGTAGACGCGGCTCAGAAGGGAAATCGGTCTGTAGTTCTTCAAGAGAGCGTTGTCGCCTTTCTTAAAGAACAAGACCACCGCACTTCTGCTCCACGCCTCTGGAGTAGTGCCACCATGGAGGACGGAATTGAAGAGCTTCTGAAGGACTTCAAGTACCGGTGTTCCACCCGCTTTCAGAAGCTCCGCTGTAATTCCATCCTCGCCTGGGGCCCTGCCGTTTTTAAGGTGCTGGAGAGCCATTCTAATCTCGCTTAGACTGACGTCCGGGATATCATCGGAATAGTGTCGGATAAGACTTGCTCTTGGATCGTTACTCACACTTGCGTGTGGCTCCAACGATGCTGTGTACAGCTGCCCATAGAACCTCTCAATCTCACTCAAAATCTCAGGTGTCCCGGAAACGATGCTGCCACACTCAGTCTTCAGCCTTGACAGTTGGCTCTTACGGGCAGACAGATCTCTGGCAAAGACTTTGGAGCCCTGGTTCCGCTCGATCGCTTCTTTAATACGAGCAGTATTAAAGTTGCGTAAGTCTCGCCGCATGCATTTGGAGATCTGTCTGTTCAGTTGCCTGTTTGCTGTCAAATCTGTTGACGATTGCAGCCTCATCTCCCGTCTAACAGCCATGAGATTAAGAGTGTTATCGGAGAGTTTTTGTGTTCTTCTGCGGTGGGTCTTGCAGAACTTAGCTCCGACCGCATGGACAGTTTCCACGAGCTTGTCATTCATATCGTCCACTGCATTGCAATCTTGTAGGCACTGAAAGCGGTTGTGTAACTCGAGCTGAAAGTTTTCGGGATTTTGGATTAGAGCACGAGGGGGACGGAGCGTTGACTTCATTAGACGAGACCTCTCCAACTTAACGTTTAGGTTCAGTGTGCCTCTAACCATTCGGTGATCGCTGCCAGTTTTCACCCTTGCGATCACTGAGACATCACTGAACAGTTGGCGTCTGGTCGTCTTAATGAAGTCAATCTCATTTTTTGTCGAACCGTCGGGGCTCGACCAGGTCCACTTCCTGTGGGGCCGCTTCTGGAAGAAAGAGTTCATCATAAAGAGTCCCTCTTTCTCCATAAAGTCGGCCAGCTGCTGGCCCCTTCGGTTCCGTTGCCCTACTCCAAATTTCCCTAACTTCAGCTCACCGTTTTCTCTTGTGCCTAGTTTTGCGTTGAAGTCTCCCATCAACACCGTGTAGTGGGTTTTGGAGGAATGCATGGCTTTGGAAATATCCTCATACATTTCCTCCACCTCCTCATCGGAATGTGCCGAGGTTGGTGCGTAAACCTGTATGACCTTTAGCGAATACCGTTTGGTGATTCTGAGTATCAGGTACGCGACCCTCGTCGACACACTCCCAATCTTTACAACGTTGTTGACGAGAGACTTGTGGACGATAAATCCGACACCTCCTTGGGACAGATGGTCGCCCTCCCGGTGATAGAACAAGTTGCCGGATTCGAGAATCACCGTGTCCTCCCCCTCTCTTCGGACCTCGGATAATCCTATAATACTCCAGCGCAACTTGTCTATCTCTTCTTCCAGCTCCAGGATCTTCTCGTCCGTCCTCAGCGTGCGTGCGTTAAATGTTGCCAGGTCGAGTCGTCGAAGGTGGCAACCGAACCTCCACCGGAGATTCTTAGCACCCCCTGCCCCGCCGTTACCATGGTCGCCACCGTAGCCAGGAATAGCGGGGCCGCCGGGGACTGGGGGCCGTCTATTTGTGTAATTGTTCATGGGGGGGTATATTGCCATAGTTGCCACGCTTGGCGAGCGGGTTGCCAACCGCAGTTTCTTTTTGTCGTACAGTTGCTGTTATCAGGAAGATGCTGCTGCCCATCTCCTGCCTGTTTCCCTCTGTCCGCTTTTACGACACCCACGGGAAGATATGGGGTAGTGGATATTCTTAACCGCCACTACACGGTAAATAATACAATAATTTAATTTAATTAGAGTTGGCCTGAGCCGCCAGGAGGCAGTTTAGGTCGTTTGTCAGTTTATTAGGCGGGTCCGAGAGAGAGTTTCTCGGCCTGCGGACTCGATAGCGAGAGGGGGGTGGGGCTGCATAAGAAGCTGCCTCACGAATTAATTGGTTTGGGTGCGACTCTGAGGCTTTGAAGAAGTTCTCAGAGAGTTTTTTTAAGAAATTGTTGAATTGTTGGGAGCTCTAGGTCCCGATGAAGGTCGGCATTACGGACGTACCAAGGTGCGTTCGCAGCTCCACGACAGAAAAGGTTTTGAACTATTTGGAGTTCATTAATAATATTAGGGGTTGCGTGGGCAAAGACGGGGCCCGCGTAGGACATGACTGGTCGTATACAGACCTTATAAAGGGTACGCACTTTATTGGCCGATTGTTCGGCTTTTATACTTTTTTTAGAGAGCTTCGCGCTCGACGACGGATCTGAGATAAGAACGGGAAATTATTTAAATTAAAAACAAATTTTTGTAAATGGCCAATAAGAAAAGAGTATTTTTGTGGAAGTTTTAAAGTAAAAACATCAGACCGGTAACGAATTTGAATAAAAATTGCCATGACAACCAGATAAACAACGATGTCAAAACATTTTAAATTTTGCTTTCAGGCTCGTAATAGAGAAACGGCAAGATTTAAGTGAAAAATGAGATATTATTGATATATAAAAAAAAGTAGCGCAACAGGCGCACAAAGCCGAAATTGCAGAGTTACGGAGAACTAAATAAAAGACATTGACTTATATATTATTAGCGTAAGGACCGGACCGACCGAACAACTAAAACGGACCAGTACACTGGCCCTAAAATTTACAGTTTAGGGCCAACGCGAATCGGTGGATAGTGGTGCGCGCGCAGGACAGATTTGCCTTTCATAAATATGTCTAGTTGCATGGTAAAAGAATGCAAAAAATTACGATACAAAGATTTAAAAAAAAAACATGGGATATCGTATCATCGGTAAATAACCTTATATCAATTTTGTTACAATTAAATTATTATATAAACGAATTTTTAAAGTTTTATTTTATAGTTAGTTTATTTATGTTACCAATATTAAGCCAGGGTTGGATTCAAACCCTCAAAAATATTGTACATGGAAAATAAAATTATACTATTTTAAAAAAATTATATCATGTTTGACGTTTTAAGTGCCGGGATTTTAGTGTCACGCGTCTAGTTTATCTATACGTTTAGTTTTTTGACGGTTCATTTTTATTTCTGTTTAAGTTATGTCTAAAGAACTTAGTGTAAGTTAAATTTTGGATTTTGGTACCTAATATATTTTATATTCAATAAGGGTAAAACGAAAAGAGTACAAAAGAAACCATGTCTGCTTAATTGAATCTGAAAATCTGGATCATAAAATATTTTGAAATTCTGTTTTCAAACCGATTGCTTCTGGAGCATACAGTTTTTTCGTGGTAGCCCCGAATTATAGTTGTATCAAGGATGCAATATAAATGCATCGATCGAGCATCGGTTGACCAGAAATAGAGCTAATTCTAATTTTATTAAAAAAAAACGCGGTACTCATGTACAATACAGAAATTCTCGATATCATAAGGTTAATATTAAAATGTAAAAGGACCCAATAATAATACAAGTCGACCTTTAGGTGAAATTATAGTATTTTCGCTTGGTATTATTGCGATACTATGTTCTACAACTATGAAATAATAGTATAATTAGGATAACTATACTACGAAATCCGACCCTGGTTACGTCGTGTTTTGACATGACGTTTGTATTATGACAGATGCACTACTTTTTCTTGCATGAAAAAGTTATGAGTAAAATATTTAGATGGGCCTATCCTCCTTTTTTGAAATCATTGATAAAAGATCGAAAAGGGTAAACTCCATCGACACCGATTTAAAAAGTGCTCATAGCGTGAAAATACAAAGTGAAAATGATTTGTTATTGTGTTCTTATGGTTTAAAAACGTTACAGAACCCTATGGAAATGAAGGTGATGCAAAATATCCAGTTTTGAGGTGAATACAGAAAATCAAAAACAGAATGGAAAAATAAATTTAAAATAGTGTAAAATGATATGTAAATAGCATAACACTACAAGGCAGCGAAGGCGTCTTGAACAGGCAGAGCGTCAAGCTACTTTAAGAGCTACTGAAATTCCTGCTCAAGTCAGCAAAGGCGTCTTGAAAGGTAATAGAGGTACTGAAACACCTGATCAAAGTCAGCAAAGGCGTCTTGAACAGGCAGAGCGTCAATTTACTTTAAGAGCTACTGAAACACCTGCTCAAAGTCAGCAAAGGCTATTCGGTCACGACGTGTAGTACATCACTCAACAGCTGTATAAAATTTCTGCAACTGCCCCGCGCACGTCGCACATCCTGACTGATTTAAAAAAAAGTGAAGAAAAAGAGTGTGTCCGTGGTTTTTGTCAGAAAAAATTGTCTTTATTGTGGGTCTACTTCCTCGGTAAGTACACAGAATATTAGAATAGGTTTTATTTCCCTAATTATTTAACCATATTGTTATGACGTAAGCAACAGAACATATTCCGGAACATTAACCCTGCAATGTTATGCGAATAATATTTGATTTTGTCATTACCGTGTTTGTCATTAACATGTATTACCGTGGTTGTTTTAAGCCACGGTAATAACAACGAAACATGATAATGACTTACATATAATGCATAAGTAAATATTAACAGTTTTTTGCTGGTACCGATTGTAATTGGTATATAAATAAGCATTGTGCATTATATACGCCAATTTTGCTTGTTCTAGACAAAAAAATAGACATGCCGCGACGTAAAAAGCCAGTAAATAGAGAAGATATGTTAAGAAAAAAACGATTTGCGGAACAAAAAAAGGCGCAACAAAATAAAGTCTAACCCTGAGCTATACAAAGAATACTTAGAAAAAGAAAAAGCTCGCTATATTAAAAGAAAGGATACTAAAAAATTGTACCAATTAAAGAATTAAAGCCAAGGGAACAGAGGACACAGAGAAAAAAATGGAAGATAAACCAACAAAATTTAAGAAGAAAGAACTTAAAATATTACAAGAAAAAGATACGCCACCTGAATCAGATTCTGAAGATTTCCTGGAACGAAATTTTGAATTACAACAAGAACATCAAGGTGCAATAAAAAAGCTTCTACTTTTGCAAGATTAGTCACCGAGAATTATGCGTCACATGATCCATGGATTAATCCCAGACCTGGACCGTCTGATCAATCTGAGTTAAACATAGGCAATAAAACACCTGCCAATCGGAGACTAGTTACAAAAAATTGCACATCAAATTCTGCTCCACCTATTTGTCACACTCCTAAGGACAGTCCCTCTTCAGCTACGCGTAGAGTTCGCTATAGAATGCTCAAATAATGCAAATACTATCAAAAACGTTTGTCGGAGCTAGAAAAGCAAAATGCAGCGTTTCGTAAACGCGTTTTTCGCATGAGACAAACTATTACTAAGCTAAAGTCTTGTAACAGCTCAGGAACAAAAGCCGGAATGATAATGGCAGACCCTACCAAAAAAGAAGATGTTAAAAAAGCCATAATATTTGGCGATATTATAAAAATTAACATCAATCTAGATTACGAGAACCAGAAAAAGGCTGAAAAACAAAAGCTCAAAGAGAGTATAGAACCAGTATGCAAGAAACTGAAAAATTATAATTTACTTAAGGAGTTGCCTAAAATAACAAGGAAATCTAATAGAAAAGAAAAAGAAAGCACAAAAAAAGAGCAAATTGATATTGATATTCGATGTTTTTATGAAGATGATGATAATTCTAGAATGACGTCCGGTAAAAAAGACTGCATCACTTTAAACAAACAAAAGAAGCAGAAGAGGTTTCTTAAAGATAGTCTTTTGAACCTGCACAAAAAGTTTTTGGAGAAATACGATTATAACGTCAGTTACTCATATTTTTGCAAAGCAAAGCCATTTTGGGTTATAGTTCCTACAGAAAAGGATAGAGAGACCTGCATGTGTAAAATACACGAAAATGTAGATTTGCTGGCAAAAGCTCTTCACAAAAACGAAATAATCGTCGAAAAATCTGCAAAAGAAATCTTATCTTCTAGTGTATGCAACATCTACAATATAAAATGTCTGGAAAATAAATACAGAGTTTGCATTAATAAAGGCCTGACAATGTGGGGCTCGGGTTTGAAGGAAGTACGAACAAAGAACGGATTAAGAATAATAAAGATTACCGAGAAGAAACAGTTTAGAGGAAAACCAAGTGAAGTATTACTTCTTTTGTTAAAGTTTCTAATAAAGTTTTACGTTCACAATGCTAATATTGTGAATCAATACGAATGCACAACGAAATTGAAGAGGGAAACCTGAAAGCAACAGTGTTGTGATCCATATAGATTTTAGTGAAAATTATTCGATCAAATACAACACCAAGATTCAGTCTCTGCATTTTGGCGGAAGCCGCATGCAGATAAGTCTTCACACTAGCGTTATATACCTCAGTAGCTCTTCAACACCTATAAGCTTTCGCACATACAGCGATAGCGTGCGTCACGATGCAGCTGCTGTCTGGGGACATATAATTCCTATACTGAGGTATATCGAGAAAACGGCGCCAGAAACTGAATCACTCCACTTCATGACCGACTCCACGTGTAGTCAATACCGGAATAAGACTATAAATCATATCATCACGAAATTGCACTAGTACTTACCAAATCTAAAAACTGTCACGTGGAATTACTCAGAAGCTGGCCACGGAAAGGGGGCACCAGATGGAGTCGGGGCTACCTTAAAAAGGACGGCTAATCGAATAGTCAGATGTGAGAAAGATATACCTGACATTAAAACATTTTCGGAAGAGATTAAAAAATCCGTAAAAAACGTAATTCTCGAATATGTATCCGAATATGATATAATCGAAAAAGAATACCTAATGCCTAAACTATTGTTGAAACCGTTCAAAGGCATGATGAATGTGCATCAGATTGTGTGGGACAAAAATAATACAGAGTTAATTGCTCTTCGACGCCAAAGCTGCATAACTGATTTGTGTAAAAATTATGCTATAGCTTGTCCCCACGATAAACACCTCGGGTTTTACAGCCATCCCACAGAAGAGTCGAATCAGCCAAACTCTTCTAAAGAACTTGATTATTGACTGATTATTTCCAATGTTGTACTCGTGCCAAGTCGTGAAGAAAGATCTCGCAATAATTTCCAAAAGCAGTTTGAAGAGCATTTGCTCCAAAATCAAAAAAGTGATGAGGAAGATGAAGGAGAGCCGGCGTCGTGCTCGTCACTTGAAGTTGCTAAAATTCAAAGATCGGAAGCATTTTTAGCTCGTACGAACGCAGAGTTACCAAGAGAGTTACAAGACATCAAAACTGCGAAATTTGAAGAACAAACGTTCTGTTTGTCTCAAGATGTTAGCATGATTATAGAAACGTCGGCAGTTAATGATATTAATTCAGATTTAGATATTACCCTAGAGCCATCCGAAATTGTGATGTTTGAGACATCAACCCCATTTGAGGCTGCTCCAATTTATGCCGAAACTTTAATCGCTTTGCCGGGTGCTTCTACAGCAGATAATGAAGCTATCTCCGATCCAATGAATGTGTCATGCGTTAACCCGTTAGATAGTGAATTTGACGAAGCATCTTCCAATATATTAGGATTAGAAAAGGCAAAGCTAAGGGATCTTGAGAATATATTCGTGGGTTGCTACGTCGTACCAATGTCAGTTAAAGAAGAATACTGCCATAAAGTATTTTATTGGACAAGTGATAAATATTAATCATGATGACAACACTTTTACAGTAAAATATCTCAGAAGGATAAAAAACACCGCAAATGTTTTTTCTTGGCCGAACAAAGATGATGAAGACTGTGTCACTAAAAATGTTATTGTTAAAGTATTAAAAGAACCCAATATAAATCGCAGAGGCCAGCTTATATTTGATGATATCGAAAATTTACTACCTGAGTAAAAATATTAAAATACGTAAATGTTTGCTAATTTTGATTATTTTTTTTTACATTTCGAGTTTGTAGTTACAATAATGTCTACTTAAAGTTTTTGATAATTTCACATATATTTTAGTTGTCATTTTTAATCAAGCTATTATATTACAAATTATTATCTAGTATACTATTGTTCTCTGAAAAGTTAATTGATCTCAATAACTAACCTATGAAAAATTATTAATATATCATTTGTTTTTATTTGCACCTAGTCAAGGACCAATTACACTAAAAGAATAGTTGATCTCAGTAAACATAAAAGTTGAATAGAAATTGTTTAAGTTTCATTTTCCATTTTTGTATGTATGTGATAAAAGGTAATAAATGTTTAAGTTATAATTATTACAGAACTGAGAAAGTTATTTTGTGAGATTATATCTTTACCAAAGAAATTTTTAATAAACATTTATTTCATTAAAAATCTGTTTCATTTGATATTTTTAGTATATGTTTCAAGGGAAAAAGAACAGTACGAAGTACCATTTATTATTGCCGTGTTCAAACGTCATTACCGTGTGCACGAAGTGTCATTACCGTAAACAATCGTCACTACCGTACACACATAATGTCATCACCGTGACTCCTAAAACTTTAGAGGCCCATATCTCTACTAATTGAGGCCCTAGGAGCGGGCCTTCATTTTTTTAATAATTCACACATTAGAAACTTTCAATTTAAACTAATTTTGCGGTTAAAACACATTTTTATTTTATTTTTTCACAATCTGCCCAATTTACGTCAAATGAAATAATTACCCTAGCAACTTTCGTGAATTTAATAAACACATACTTTATACTTAGGTAAATATATTTTTTATTTAAATTTATATATTATTTTTGATGGCACGTTTGACGCAGTGGCTGAACCACCCGAATGCAATTGATAAAAATGCTACGCAATAGCTTTACCGCGGCAGTCCCCGTGTGCCACACGTATTTTTATTTAGCTGGTATATGTGCACTTGTGGCATGCATGGTTTTCCCCTGGTCAAGCCAAACCCATTCATGCATGTCTTCTACACGTAAGTAGGGCCATTTAATGCAGTTGTGATTATCAGGAAGTTCCCTTTCTTTCTTTAGTATACACGTACAAATAACTATTTTTCTAGAAATTAATAATAGACTTTTTGTAATCTTACTGTCATCTATAAGGGAAGTAGCAGGTTCTACATAGACAGAACAGTCACAACAGTTCTGCTTTCTGCTAATGATTACCTGTTCCTCTTTTTTATTTAAACTGAACCTTCACATTTCCCATACACTATGTGATCTCCGTGGTGATTATAACCCGGGGTCCGAGGTCTGGGCGCCGCCGGTGGTAATTACCAGTACTCTGCCTTCAAGTTCTTAAGATTTAGATTAGTTTTCTTAGTTTCTTAATGACTTGTCGATTGATTGCAATTTAATTCATCTGGTGTTTTTCGGAATATTGTTTTAATTGATATTCAACATTATAAATGCATGATCTCACTTCTATTTATGATATAAAATGAATAAAAATTGTAAACTTAAATTAAATAAGAGATAAGGTACATTGACCATTTTATTAACCCACCACATTTTATTTTGCATACTGCCACCAAATCATTATATTTCGCTATATATAATAATGTCCTCTAGACCGAATTTCGATCACGAAGGCCAGCCTTAACGGAGACTAGCCATCGGCGCACGACAGGATTATAGTGCCCAAGGGTATGCGCAAGCACAGGTGCACCCTCTATTCCCTCATTCTCATCATCCGATGGGACGGTAAGCCGACACGACCGGAGAGAGATCAGGCCCAGGGCCAACGCCTTTACGTGCTTTCCGAAGCACGGGGGTGAGACACCGCCGACTTCCTACTCCGGACAACTACTGAGAATTTCTTAACAGAAAAACTCGATAATCGATTTTTGGCCCGACCCGGGATTCGAACCCAGGACCTCATGATCAGCAGTTGCACTACTACAACCACTAGACCAACGAGGCAGTCAATCAGCGATATAATATAATTAGTAATAACTTATGTATTATCGAATCAAATCAAATATTACAGTTCTTTGGCAGTTTTGAAACGTACATTTTCAAGCTTTGTGTACGAGTATATTTGTCGGTCTAAATCATGTTTGCAAGTAGAATTGCACTCAACTAACCGGTTTTATCTACCTAGTGGGCGACCGAGCATTACCCGGCGTTAGAAACATTATAATTTTCTCATGCAACGTTTACATCACAGAAATCTAAATATATAAATAATAAGGTACCTACTAGAAATGCCTTCTACTGTCTTAATATCGGGACGCGTGTCGCCGGTCCGCAGCTTTCACACATAGACAAACAATAAATACACAATTTCGCCTACACATAGGTATATACATATACATATATATATATATATATATATATATATATATATATATTATATATATATATATATAAAGAATTGCTTTAGTAATGAAAAAATATTATTTTAGGTATGTCATTAAGCGCAGCATTAGAGTCTTGAGTGTTATACCCATGTCTTTCACGAGAGGCTTTTTACATCACTATTTACCGGTGCCTTTTGCTATGTGAATGACATCACTACAGTTGAAAAGAGGTCATTTAGGTAAAAAAAATGTTTGGCGCGAATGTGAGTGTAATATTGCTTCGTAACTGCTAATGCTGATGTCAATAATTGCATATAATATTATAGTATTATTATTTTTTGACTTATTAATCCATTTCAGAATGACCGTGGTAGAAGCTGCCGTGTCAGTTGGTAGTGTCACAGGTTCAATCGCCAGCTCTTACGTTTTGAGGGCAGTTGGACATGTATACCTGTTAGCAGTAACCCTTCAAGTTGCTGCATACGTTTTTACTAACGTGTGTTTGGAGGAACCGTTACGGGGTGCAGTCCAGGTACTATTTAGAATATTTGTTTTAAATAAAATAAGGATAACACGACGAGCACAGTCTTTATGATGGTAAGTCGGTGTTGTGAACCATAAACATCTACATTCATCCTCGATTATGAATAAAAATGTAGATGCATATTCATCCCTGGAGACTAAGATAGAATTTCTCGTTACCGTAAAAAGGGTCTCCGGTTCTCACGTTCACCCTAAGAAATACGGCAACATTAAACTGCTATTTTACGCTGGCATTTTGTGAGAGTGCGGCCCTACCCCAGTAGAGCCAACCCTTTTGTACTACAACCAAAAATATAGCTCCAGTGAGGCTCTAACACGTTAAAAGTAATTTATTTATAATAATATGTCCTTATAACTTATTAGAATCTTTTGTTTTAGGGCACTCTGTAATCTGTTTTAGATTTTTCGCTTGTGAAAGAGATGGGTCAGAAATGCTTCAAGAAGCGACCAAATCACGGTCGTGCTCAAATCCTGCTCTTGACCTTTCGAATAGTTTGGCAGTATTCATTATGTACGGCTTAATGAATTTGGAGTACGATTACATGAGGGCAAAACTTAATTGGGCCGTAAGGCAGTACACGATGTATTCAGCAGTGAATACGATGATATCTTTTCTTGGGTCTTTTATTGGAGTCCTTTTGGTGCAGAGGATATTTCATGTTAGCGACTTGTCATTTTCTATTGTAGCGTTGTTGTCGTCTGCAATTGAATACGTAATTAAGACGTTCGCAGTTACCACGTGTAATATGTACTTGGGTAAGTTTCCATGCTGTTATTCAGTATTTGAGCTCTAATTGTCGTGAAGGATCGAATTAATAATCGTTTACGACGTAATTTATCCCGTGCTAACGATAATTGCTAGAGGGAGCAACAGGCATTGGTCGCCATTAATTTTTGCGTTTATTTTAAACTGTAAACTTTATAAATCGAAATTTTTGCCACTATTATTACCAGAAGAAAGTTAAAATAAATAATTGTATAAATTGTTTGCGCGGAAAACCATTCGTATTTATTTTATTTGACGGTAGGCTGCCAAATCGGTTATCCCTTTCCAAAACGATATCATTCGTACCCTCCTATCTACACATCGGGGTGGTGGGGTGGGAGGGGAAAGAAGATGATTCTAGAACATCACGTAATCATCGGAACCGAGGATATATAAGACACGCGCGACCGACGCGTGGCCTCTTCCCGCCGCGCTCGCCGTTGAAACCACACCGCCTAGGATAATAGTGTCCTAAAGAGCTCTCTTCCCGCCGCGCTCGTTGTTGGAAACACAACACTAGTAGAAACCGCTTTAGCCTGGAAGCAGTCGAGCACCAGGAAACCCGCCTCACCTCGTGTGAGATATAGTCGCGCACCGCCTCTCTCCGGAGTGTTCCAGAAGTCGCAGTTATAGTGCTCGACCGCATAGAAGAAACATCCCGGTGAGTCAACATTTTCCTAATATTATTTTCCTGCTTGATATAGTTGTTTTAACCCGCTCCAATTTTGTGTTTTCCTAATCAAGCAGGATTCCTTTCATCGATTTGGCAAATAATAGTTCGTTTTTTTAGGGAAGAGCGAGTGCATTGTACCGCATATATAAGTGTAGAATCATTTAGTAGATACAGTCCACTTAGATTAATATCTCGCGTAATAGGTTTAAGGTTCGACCGGGGAACTAGACTTCGGCAGCCTTAAACACGTGGCTCCACCATTTTATGGTCACTTCGGCAGGATTTGGATTGGTGTTTGGTGGTCCTCCAACCATTTTCTGGTCGAATTATTAAATTAATTATTTAGATAATGCACTCTAATCTATGGAATAGACTTAAATAGTGTTCGTTTAAATTTAAATTTTGATTAGGTACTCGCAAACAGAATTATTTATTTTATAGCGCTCGTATTTGGTTAAATTTAAAGCTTATTAAATAATTGAAACAGTGTGATAGCAACCGTTTGGTACGCTTACCCGACAATCTTTATAAAAACATTGAGTTAGCAAGCAACGCGTCGCCTCGACTGTAACAGGTGTTCGATTTAATTACGTAATACGGCATACCGAGTGTCCATCGTCCATCGTTTATGCGTGTGAGATTAATTGTGATTAATAACTTTGTTATAATAATTTAAAATGGCAGTTAGTGAAAGTGAATTTAAAATTAAAAGGCTTTATGCCAAGAGTAAGTACTTTTTTCACGTATACAAAACATTAGCGATCATATAAAGAACATTAATGTAGAAGCGGTGCGGGAAACTTTTCTGAATGAAATTGAAACGGTGGATTCTTTGCGGACGGATTACGAAAGAATATTAGACCAAATTAATCATTTGGAATTACAAATCGACCCGAAATACATAGTGAACTACCAACCGCTGCTGGCATTCGAAGATATGTTGTGTCGCGTGAAAAGAACGGCAAAACTCCTACAATCTCAAAGCGAAGCAAAGCCGGAATTGCAGGTACGTCCTCGTGACTCAATTAGGTTGCCGCCAATAGATATTCCGGTATTCAATGGTGATATTAAGACGTGGCCCTTCTTCTTCAGTAGTTTTCAAAACAATATACACAATAACCCATCGTTATCGGACGCTGAAAAATTATATTACTTAATTAGTAAACTTAGTGGCAGGGCACAGTCGATCTGCTCTGGTTTTACACCTACAGCAAACAATTACTTATTAATATTCGAAACGCTTAAAACTAAATATGAAGATAGGAGAATGTTAGCTTCCGAATATTTGAACCAGATTTTCGATCTTAAACCTATATCATCCGCGAACATCAACGGCTTAGAGCAGTTTCTAGATAAATTTGTGGCATCGGTGGCTGCACTTAAGAATTTAAAATTTAATGACCTTATGGACGTGGTGTTTCTCCATATTGCACTAAAGAAATTAGACCCCGACACCGTGCGTGCGTTTGAAATGGAGCATCGTAGCTCGGAGATGCCTTCCTTTCATTCATTAGCATCGTTCGTGCGAGATCAAATAAAGGTGATGCAGCGCTCTCCGAACGTTAAACAGGAGATTAAAAGGTGCGTCGACCGTAGACAGACTCAACCATCTAAAATAGCAGGGTCGTTAACGTACGTAACCGCTACGTCAACATCACTTCAGCATACTTGTATCGTATGTAAAGATAAACACGGTAATTTATACAATTGTGCGACTTTTCGTAAATATTCACCAAGCGAACGTTGTAAATTAGTAAAGACAAACAACCTATGTTAGAACTGCTTAAGCGATAAGCATTTAGTTGCAAAATGCAATTCGGGTTCCGTATGTAGCAAGTGCGGCAGGAAACATCACACGCTATTACATTTTGAAAATAGCAACATAGCGGCGTCAAGTAAAGCGGACAAGGAATTCACCCCTACTAAGGTCAACGATTCTAGCGGTCGACCTGGTGATGTCGCTCTGTGCTCATTGGCAAATATGGGAGCACAACCTCCTTCAACCGTGTTACTGGGTACGGCGCGTATTTTGGTTAGGGATTCGCGTGGGAACGAACAAAGCGTCCGTGCACTGCTGGACAGCGGAGCCCAAAATAGCTTTATAACACGACAATGTTGTCAGCGCTTAGGCTTAGTAATAAATAGGTCACTTTCATGTCCTGTAGTTAAAGGCATCGGAGGTACTAGTAAAGCTACCCAGGGATATATTAATTTAAAATTTTATTCTCGGATAGATCGTAATGTTAACTTTGATATAAATGCACTAGTAGTAGATAGGGTCACTGAACGGTTGCCAACCGTTTCGGTTGACACCTCGGCAATGATTGAATTTAAAAATTTGATTCTAGCGGACGACACTTACGCCGTTCCTGGAAACATAGACATGCTCATTGGAGCATCGCTTTTCCCTCATCTTTTGTTAAACAATAAGGTCAGGGGCAACTCCTCGCATACCGCGCCTTACGCACTAGAAACCGTATTGGGCTATGTTATCATTGGCTCCGCCCCCATCATAGATAGTATTTCGGCAACCTCTTATTGTGGTATGGCTGTCGAACCGCTCGAGTCGTTAGTCCGCAAATTTTGGGAGATGGAGGAGGTGAACGTCCCACCCATAGCTAGCTCAGATGACAGGTTATGCGAGGAAATTTACGTCCGCACGACCGTTCGTGATCGCGACGGTAGATATAGTGTAGCGCTGCCCTTTAAAGGAGATGTTTTATCTCTCGGCGATTCGCGTCAAATGGCGGAAAAACGTTTCTACAGCTTGGAGCGTAGGATGCTCGCTTCACCCCAGTTAAAGGAAGCTTACGACGGCGTCATTAACGAATATATAAGAGAAGGTTACATATCACTCGTGGCTTCGAAATTAGATAACTACGAAGACACACCGTCGTATTTCATACCACACCACGGGGTCATTAGGGAGGACAAACTTACATCTAAGTTACGTGTAGTGCTCGACGCTAGCGCTAAAACTAGCACTCACCTGTCGCTTAACGATATCCTCTATAGTGGGCAAAATTTACAGGGCAGTTTATTTAATATAATAGCCAATTTTCGTTTGTTTAGTATAGCACTATCCGCCGATATTCGCCAAATGTTTCTTTGCATAGGGGTCCGTGAATGCGACCGTAGATTCCAACGCATTTTATATCGTTTCAACCCAAAGGAACCTCTAATGGTGTTTGAATTTAACCGCGTTTGTTTTGGTTTAAAGTCGAGCCCATTTCATGCGTTACGCACGGTGAAACAGCTCGCCCACGATGAAGGTCCCTCTTACCCTAAAGCTAAGAGGGCAATTGAGAGCGGTTTATATATGGATGATTTTGTATACTCGGTCGATAGCGTGGAGGAGGCCACCCTAACCACCGCCGAGGTTATAAAGCTCATGAAATCGGGTCAATTCGATCTTGTGAAGTGGACTAGTAATTCGCGTCCGGTTTTAGATACAATCCCACTATCACACCGTCTTTCGGCGATAAAGGAATTCGACGATTCCGATACACACAAGGTGCTCGGTCTGTGTTGGTCACCAGAGTCCGACGTGTTTAGCCTTAAGGTAAATCCGCCCGTAGAGAAATGCACAAAGCGCACAATACTGTCATGCGTTGCTAGATTATGGGACGTCATGGGTTTCGTAGCTCCGGTGGTATTATACGCTAAGCTTTTGATTAAACAACTTTGGTTATTTGAATGCGATTGGGATGACTCGCCGCCTGACAGCATTGTTCGTTTGTGGCAGCGCTTTAGAGAGGAACTTCCTTTACTAAGAGAAATTAGAATACCGCGTCATATAAACGTCGATAGAAATAGCGTCATAACGGTCGTTGGGTTTGCAGACGCCAGCGAGAAGGCTTACGGGGGCGTTGTATATTTCCACGTTCAGAATAATGGTAGAAATTAGATTAGCCTCATTAGTTCTAAGTCGAGAGTCTCCCCCCGTAAGGT